ACTTCGAACATAGCACCAGGCGCAACAAAGAATTCTGGTATGGAGCAATCAAACGCAAGCAAACAATCGAGTGAGTGAGCAGAAATATGATAAATAGCACTAATATTAATATTGTGCTATTGTCATGGGTTTAACTGAAATAAATCATCATTTTCTCAGGTCATGAACATGATGTAAAGTCTCTTCAGGGGGAAAATCCGACTGGCATTGCTAGCGGTGGCGACGACGAGACCGAAACAGAAACAGATGCACCAGAGAATCAAAATATTACAGGACCGTTGACTAATTTGACAACTGTCTTGCCAAGGTATATTGTATGACAGTTTTTTATTGTTATTTGTATAGAGTTGAGAAGAATAATGTGTTACTTAACGTAACGCTGTTACCATTACTATTATAATTACTTTTTTTACGGTAAATGTAACGGCAATGGCGTTTTGTTATTATTATATTGTTAATATTGTTTATAACAGAAAAAGTAACTTTTTGTTGCATATTTTTCGGTAATGAATAACAAATTTAAGTTATTTTCATTGTTACTTTTTTTGGGCCTACTTCGTATAATTTTCATGCAAAAAAACATTTTGATCAAGAGCATTATAATTACACAGAAATTGATGGCTCTTTTTATCTTGTTTCTCTCTATTCTGTAAAAAGCATTTAATTAGACAAATAATTTAGTGATTGATCAAGAATTCGAAATTATGAAGATTAGCATATCCTATCAGGATTATAAAATTATATAAGGTTAAAGATATAAAGAAGACGATTTTGATCATATTTACGAATCTTGAAATAAAACTAAAAGTAAGAAAACTTTTTCTTTTTAATTTATATTTATAGAATTTAAAAATCTTAAAAATGTTTTTTTACAAAGCTTTTTAAGTTTTCTTTATTTAAGATTAATTATTATTATCAAAATTAATGCGGTAATGAACTATTTTTTAAAATTGGTAACGAGCAACGGTAACGAGTTATTTTTCAGAAAAAGAAACAGTAACAAACTACTTTCATATAATTTTTTCAACCTCAGTTATATTTATCTCATTTTGGTAAAATGTTTAAAGCAGATTTTATATCAGGTCTACCGGAAAGTTCTGTCCGTTTTTGGAATAAAACAAAATACAAATTTTTATTACCGTCAATAAACAAAATTAGTCGATTTTTATTAGTACAATTAAAATTATAATGTAACTTTGATATTATCAAGGAGAAGGATTATTGATAACAATTACAGAAGACCATTGCTCAGTGATGTACCCTCGACGTCGAAAGGTGACTTTATCTTTGGGGAAACTGAATATGAACCTGTATCATTAGAACATCCTAGTGAAAGTAGACATACTGTTATGCGTATGGAGGATGACGAATGGACCAAGGAATTGCAGAAAGAGGCTTTCCCTTTACGACACGAGATAAAAGATCGATCTCCGCCACCGGAACAATTTCCTAACCATCCTACTGAACTCGGCGAAGATCCAACTTCCGTTATAATTGAGGATCAACCTCAATTAGTCGTACCACTTTTACCTAAGCCATTGTTATTCGATTTTACATCTGTGATCTTGGAAGCATTGGAATATCACGCGACAGTGAGAGACGTACAAACAACAGTATCAATGCTAATTGCCCTAGGAGAAAAGAGGAAAAATTTGATGCTTCCAATAGCTTTGCAAGAACATTGGATACTGGAATACTTGGATATGCTTGGCAAATTTAAACTCTGGCATATAGCTACACAGGTTTGTTCATAATTGAAAGATATTATTTTTTAACAAATTATATATTTTACGATATTTTTTTGCTAAAAGCGGAAATTATATCTGAACTTCTGTTGCTTCGATTATTGTACACATTGATGACGATCTTTATCTAAATAAAAATAAATAAGAAATTTTATTTTACAAAGAATTTTATTTGCATAGATAATACAATTGGCATGGATTCCTTCTATATCGCAATTGAATCAACAATCGACCCTGATTCATGTATCTTGTGCAGCGTGCACAAAACAGTTGCAACGATCGGCGTGGTTGTGTGATCATTGTCATACATCCGAACATGCTCTGTGTTCGGTTTGTAATCAGGTGAGAGAATGTTTGATAAGCTCAATTTTCTTGCAACATCTCTTGTATTTACACAGAATAAAACAAATAAATCAGGAAAATTATAAAATTATTGTTCAGAAAGTTATAAGATTGCTGTCGATTATAGTAAAACAATTTCGGTGAAACAGATTACGATAAAAAAGTGTTATACGAGAAAAAAATTATCTTATTATCTTTTTATATACAGGTTGTACGTGGAATGTATGTGTGGTGTCAAGGTTGTGCACATGGAGGCCATATAAATCATATGAGGGAGTGGTTTAATGGCAATCGACAATGTCCTGCCGGTTGCGGACATTTCTGTGAATACAATTAAAGAATCAATATTTGTTGTTAATAATAATATGTACTTTTTTGTAATATTTCTTACTATAATCGTGTTAAATTATAATGGAGGCAGTATCTCATGTGAATTTTTCTGCAACATTTAAAATAAATTATTTTTTCATATTCGCGTTTGATGGCAGAGATTGATGAAGTATATTGAAGATTTTCTCTTTATATTTTACAGTTCTACAAATTTTGATCAATTTTTATTAAGTCAATCCTCGCTGAAAATATAGGATATATGTAGATTGAATAAATTATGCATTTACTAATACAAACAATAAGAAAAGTTTTTAATATATATTACTAATCCATACTTCTGAATACAAGTAGTATGTGGCATACAAAAAAAAATAATTTAATTCGACAAGAAAAAAAATACAAGTAATTTTCTGCTTTTGACTTTATAACTCAATATGGCTGCAAAGAAAGAACAGGCGAGAAACATATTGCGTCTGTGCACCGGCTGTTGCTGTCCGTATACGTATGTACACACGATTGCATTGCTCGCATGGACGTAATATGAAAAGAAAAGATAGAAAAGGATCAATGATCACGCTATCCTTGTTCCTTTAGCGTATTGCTTTACGGCCGAGATAGGCCTGAAAATTGCTTTCTGATTTCTCGTGGCAGAAAGCAGTAATACAACAAGATTAACGGGCGCCCCCATTTTTTGTGAATTTTATACGTGTATATATATGTTTAAATTATTATAATCTACTAATGCAATTTTATTACAAAGAATACTTCATCCTTGTGGTTTCCCTTGATTTCAAAAATTTTTATATATTTATTTATATTGATATATCTATATATTTTGTAGAATGATTTAATAAGAAAAAAACCGCGTATTTATATGTGATCAGGAATTTATATCATTCTAGGTAATAAAATCTGAAAAAAACGCGGGCACGCGTTTATATTAATAGAATATATATCTATCATAATAAAAAATTAAGTGTCAATTTTTTTCTAACGAATTCCTAGAATTTATTTGATAAAAATAATATTTTATATATTTTAATTAAACATTATTACAAAAAATATTAGACTTTCTCTTGTAAAAAAAATGTTTCCGCCCGGGATCGAACCGGGGACCTTCCGCGTGTTAGGCGGATGTGATAACCACTACACCACGGAAACTCGTTTGAATCAGTTTTCTAATTTCAGATTATGTCATATACTACCATAGCATGAGATGCTGTTAAATACGGTCGGTCATATGGGTAAATTTTCGTCATTTATCACGATCAAATAGATACGATGGGCCCAGAAATAATTAAAGGACGATGATATTATTAACCGTTTTGATTGCACTATAAAAATAACAAACATGAATACAAGTACTTTAAAGTACAGATTAATTATTTATTAAACAATTAATATATCACGAAGTGTTAGCGCGTACAGCGGATTTTTCAAACTATGCGAATAATACTTATAAAGCTCCATATCTTTAACAGTATTTCGTTAATGCATATATACGTAATATAAATAATTTATTAAATTGAAAAAAGCTTCGTTTTTATTTGCAATCCCATTTAACAACAATTTCGTTTGCCTATATTATTTTACCGATAATTCTGACTGCCTACGCAATAATCTACATAGCAGATAACTGATACATATCACGTACGATCAATAATCGACTCTAAATAAACTAAGATTTTATTAATTTATAAAGCATGCACATTTATATATGATATATAGATTAAAACATTTTTCGCAAATACATAACGATGTTCAACCTAAAGTAAAATGTGAAAACTTGGATTCTATAAGAATGTACTTCTTCCACTATAGTGTACACTAAAAATGAAATATTTAGAAGTTGGAGAGAAAAAAAGAGAAACAAAAAGTGTAAAACTTCAGCTACAAAGAACAAATCAGAAACACAAACTTATCAGAAAAAAATAGTATTTAAAATGATAAAATTTATGATAAAGTAAAAAATATAAATTTTAACAAAATTTGATTCTATTTTTATAATTTTTTATCGATTATTTTAAGTAAGAACACCCTTATATACAAATATGTATATATATGTAATATTAATATATGCATATAGATACGTTTATTCACAAAATAAATCCTTCGTATTCTTAATATAATGTCAGAAATAATTTGTTACATTAAAAAAAAAATAAATATTTAAGTCAGATTATTGATCCCCTTAGCATTTATATCAATCTCTATTTTAGTTATAATTCATTTATTCTAATTTACTACTTTTTAATTTTTTACTCTAAAAATATACATTTTACTCTTACATACTTCATACATTCTCGTGTGCTCATATTTTCTCTTTGTACTTTAATATTTTCATACATATGCTTGTCTGTTTGCAACATTCTCCTAAAAAATTATTCATGCAATCTTCAATAATAATTTTATGAAATAAACAAAATAAAACACTTATCGAAATAAGATGGATGCAAATGGATTGCAATATGAATAGCTGCTATCAAATACTTTAATCAAAAGAATTATTTTGTTTGAAAATGGTAAAAGCAGTGTACTTACAATTAGTTGATCTTAATTTTCTAAATTAATATACTTTATTTCTTTGTTATTTTGAAATATTGATTTATTTAAGTAATGAGAATAGTTTTACATATTTAAAAAAAGTTAATGATGAGCTGCTTTCCTCATCTGTACCAAGATATTTCCAAGCTCTTCTCGCTTCCTCTTAGCACGAATGTGAGTTCCCAGCTAGAAAGTAATAAAAATCATATATGTAAGAATAAATATAAATATATGTAGAAATATCTTTCACATATGAAAAAGATTTTCTAAAAATCTTAAAATCTATATATAAAGATTACTGTGTACTTTTTATCCTACTATCAATATCATACATCAATCTGTAAAATAATTCAGATTATAAGATAATTACATGAAAAATAAGAAATTCGAAGTTTTTAAAAATTAGTACTTATTTAAAAAGTGAAAAATTGTAGACATTTACCCTTCTCTTCAAAAATTTCAAAGCACGCTTGTCCTTTGACACTTTTAGCAACTCCATAGCTCGTTTTTCATAAGGAGCATGTCCTGTGACCTCGCGGATCAAATCTCTCACAAATTTACTGTGTTTGGTTTGTTTCTGAAATAAACAAAATTAAAGATGGATTAGTATGTAAAGAAATATTGAGATGTTTATCTAACGGATTATAAAATAAATATAAATTGATTGAAAGAATACAACGTAGAATAACAATGAGAAAGCGTACTGTTTTCCACATTATACTAACCCCTTTTAATCTGGCTGGTCGAATACAGAGAGTTTTCTCTTTTTCGGATTTGTTTTTCGCCACACGAATCTTCGTCGTTTTGTGACCCCTGTTGAGCCCAACAGCCAATTCATATCTTGGTGCCATCCTGTGTGCAAACATAAATTCTTTTTATAGGTTATCTTACTGCTAAGATTCACTAAATCTAAATGCATTTTAATATCATAAATTATAAATCTAGCTTAGCTACTAGAATAAGTATATTGTCTGTATTTATTCGATTTTGAGCGGATTACAAGAATATTTTAGGATTCAATATATATTTTACAAACCCTCAAGATAAATTGTATGACCAGAGTGCGCAAACTCTCTCTTGGAAAAGAAGCCAACTTGCGCCTTCTATTTCTGATACGAGATAGAAGTGAACTAAAATCGGTCACGTGACAATAAGTGGGAAGTTGACCATAGAATTTCTATTCTAGGGTATATTGATTCGTAATCTATCAGCGTTTTTGAATGAACGGGTTTTAACCTTAGGCCCTGCGCACAATAGAGAAAATATTAGGAATAGGAATAAAATATTAAATATCAGGAGCAGCAATTTGGGATCAATCATAGTTGCCTCTCATTTGTGAGTAACTGCTCAAAAGTGCGCATGCACGGCTTACCGGTTTGGCCCAATGAAAAATAAGGTTACATTAGTCACATATGTGTGTACACTCCACTTCCGTTACAGCCTTGGTCGAGTCAGGGCCAATTTCACCAAGCTCGGTTAGATTAACCGACGGTTAAAATTAGCAGGGTTCCAACTGAAATGATAAGAATGCTTGGTTTTCCTTCACCTCTATTTTCTGTTGGCCACCCTGCTAATTTTTATGGAAGAGATTTGTTTAACAAACTATTATAGGACATCATCATATTCATAATGTTGTTAATAGTAGTATATAAACTACTCTATATACTGCTACTAATCCCAATTCTATTGATAAAACGGAGAAAGTTTCAAAAAAAGCGAAAGGAAAGACAACAGAGAGCCACAGTCGTTGGAATCTTTCATCCATATTGCAATGCAGGTGGAGGAGGCGAGAGAGTGCTTTGGGCTGCGGTTCAAGCTATACAGAATATGTATGTCAATATAATTTGTAGATCTAAAAAATTTATAATCCCAAATTTATCTATACCATTACCTTTATATACTAACTATTACATTTTTTATTATTATTTACATTTTGAATGCCTCTAGATATCCTGATGTACATATAGCTATATATACGGGCGATCTTGATGCTGATCCCGAAACGATTCTTAGCAGAACTGAAAAAGCATTCAATGTAAAATTACGTCCAAACATTGAATTTGTCTATCTGCGTAAACGAAAATGGGTGGAAGCTTCCATGTATCCTCATTTCACATTGCTAGGGCAAAGTCTGGGATCTATCTGGTTGGGCATCGAGGCGTTGGACAGTTTTCCACCAGGTGATATAATTAATTATTTGAGATATTCACAACGCTACTATACAAAATTTCCATATTAAACAAAATATGTAAAAATACACAAATTGCAGACATATACATTGACACAATGGGTTACGCGTTTACGTATCCTTTATTTAAATATATCGGTGGTTGCCGGGTCGGATCATACACGCATTATCCCACCATTTCGACCGATATGTTAAAGCATGTCTACAGAAGAATCATCACGCACAACAACCGACGAATCATTGCCAGAAATCCAATTCTCTCGGGGATGAAGATTCTTTACTATCAATTATTCGCACAAGTAAGTATAATACTTTCAATTATAATAACTTAGAGATATAAAATTTGATCAATTATTTTATGAAGAATAAAAAATATGTTGCCATCAAACAATTATTTGATGTTAGATTATTGCAGTTGTACAGATTAGTCGGTAGTTGCGCCGAAACCATAATGGTAAACTCCTCGTGGACCGAAGATCATATCAACTCTATCTGGAAATGTCAATTAAAGACGCATCGAGTGTATCCTCCATGCAACGTAGAACATCTGACTAAATTGCCGTTACTCAATGATGAGGAAAAAGGTGACTATATACGTATAGTGGCGCTCGCACAATTCCGACCAGAGAAGAATCATCCGCTCATGTTGAGGGCCATGTTCGAACTAAGATCGATTCTTAAGGAGGAAATCTGGGAAAGAGGAAGCTAATGATTTGAACGAAATGCTATTAGAGTTGCTGCGAGGTACGTATATTCATAATTATTTGATATTAAAATGATATGAAAAGAATTCCATTATTTCGACTTTTTTTTCAGGTCATCTGTAAATCGATTCTCGTGTCAACACTTCGAGATGGAATTCCTACGAGCAATCGAACCGTTTTTTCGAGCGAAACGAGAGTAATTTTATTGCCTTGTAATTTTTCTAAAGTGGTAAATTATGTGTGCATGTGAGTGATTCATTTTAAAATTAGAATGCGCATTTTCGATACATGTTACACATTATCCTGTATGTAATAATATGTATATATAACAAATAAGTGTGTTCTCCATGTGATGAATCAATATTTACTCGTTGAGAGATGCAAGACTTTCTACTTAATGTCCATTAATTTTAGGATCAATACATTGAACAAATAATCATGATTTAGCATACACAAGTCGCAGTACATTGTGTAACAATAATTGTTAACAAAATGTAATAATTATTTAAACTTCTTGTAAAGTTCTAAAAATATTAGAGAATATCGAAAGTTTATGAAAGTACATGACGTTAATATCGATGTTACAATTTACTTACTGAAACAGCAAAGAGCCAATTAATTTATTATGCAATAAATAAAAATATAATAATATATTTATATTACAAATGAAAATGAAACTGAAGAATATAGAACAAGGTATTGAAAAAGAAAATAGCCAAAAAGAGTCTTAAGGGCTTAAGCTGATGGTTTCATTGGCAATAAAACGCCGAAAAACTTATTCTTTGGTAAAAGAAAATCCTCAAAATGGACAGATGATAAAATTAGTTATATTTTACATATTAGTTCTTTTATATTATACATTTTTATTTACATAAAAGTAAATGTTTGTGTGTAAATATAATAATTTTTAGTACAGACAGTGATTGAAGGTATCATCTCCTGAAATACTGCATCCTCATTTGGATATTTCTGCTAGCCGATTTGTAATTTATGATCAATAATACGGTTATAATCTGTAAATAAAACTCATGAGATACTTCGGCTGGCATGCTTGTTAAAAGAGAAAGATGAAGAGATCGCTTATTTTCCTTTTTTCGGTAGTTATTACGGCAGCTAAACAAATATCTCCAATTTAAGAATATTTTTATGACTATCTGGCATAGCATGAATGCGTATAGTTGCATAATGCATACAAGGTAACCTTCGAACTCGAACGGGGTAAGCAACATCGCGCTTAATGAAATTTTATTGCTATCTTGGTGAGATAACCCTTCGCGCTGATAGTAAATTTCATGCTACATTTTTATTCATAAAATTGTAACGCTCGACTCGAAGTGTCGATTTTATAGTTTCACGTTGCACGATTCTAATTTTAAATATAAAAAAGCTATATAAAATAAAATAATAGAGTATACAATAAAATATATACATATATATATACATATACTTTTGTTAAGACTTAATTATACTAAGATATTAAATAAAAATTTTGGAAATTGTGGAGAGTAATGGCTTCCTTTGATGGTTTTCGCCAAGAATATTAAATTAATTATAATTTTGTATCATTTTATAAAATTATAATTTATTTAAATGCCTGTAAAATAAAAGAGAAAAAAAAATATGTTTTATTGGAAATTGATATAGATTATATATATTTAAGACTTCGCGCTATAATAGATTTCCATCATCAGATATTTTGCTGATAATCGATTAAGAGAGACAGGAATAATGACGATAATATGGCGCCGCTAGTGGTTAATTAGATTATAATTTACAATAGTGCATACGGATAAAACGTATTATAAAAATGTTATGCAATTTAATATTGACGCGTAAATAACAATGTTTGTTATCGATTTTATTACGCGCTCGATATACATGATATGTTATATTTTCTAGTTAAAATAAATATTATTTCACAGATAGAGAGCTCAAAATGCTTACACATGCATATAATTTATGTATGTACGGCGGTCATCGATTAATTCGGAGATTTCGTACAAAACATATTGAAATTTTACAATGTAACATATATATTTGTAATCGTTAGGTTGCATTAGTGGAAGAATTTAAAGGTTTAAAAGATGCTCGAGATTCTATTCGTAATACTATATAGGAACTAATAAAACCTTGATATACAATATAAAATAGATTTGGTAGAATGAAGAATTTTAATTCCGTCACATTTTTTTTTTTTTTTATGTTAATAGATATTGACTTATAACCCACAAATTATTTCGCACAAAAATCTGCGTGTTTGTAATAAATTAATATATAGAAAAAGAGACGTGTTACAGATATACAGTAATGGTGTTTCATACGAGGAGAAGAACATTCTCCCGGTTGAAAAACGGATTGATGTGACTATTATAGTCGTAGTCACCGTCGTCGTCATCGCTATAACTGTCGACAATATTAGAGTGTGCAATGATGCAATGAGAGTTCGTTACAGCGATTTGTTTTACTCTTTTTTTTCAACCAAATTCAAATATAGCAAAGCTATCCTAATGATATAAAATACGCGACCGTTGCGTAATAAGGAATATAATGATGAGTAAATAGTATCGTTAGTATCACAGTCAATGCGAGACCCTAAACGAATTACAGGATCTGACGTGTTCGGTAATGCCTCGGATCATTGTACGAACAAAAAAAAAATGGAAATCTAAACGGATATTATTGCGGAGATACGCAAAAATCCTAAAATTATTTAGATGATTATAATGTATTTATATTTTCGCCTTTATTAATGATTATTAGTATATGTGTATGTGTATGTGTGTGTGTGTGTGTGTGTATACACACATGCATTTTTTTATGCAACCACGTGTGGCACCACCGAACCGTAATTCGGACAATTCTTTGGTGAGTCCTCGGCGATGGTAGAGTGTAGACTCTAGTAGAGATGGTAGACTGTTTCGCTCTTTTTCTGATGTTCCTCTTCCTCACGAGCAGGCACATTCCAGTACCTGGATGCTCTTCCAGTAGGATACCTTCAGTTGCGTCGAATCGTTCTCGTCAAAGTAGACGATCATCAGCTGATCGAGCTTGCTGGGTGCGCAGCACGGCTTGGGTACCCTCTTCCGGTCCTCTTTCCATAACAGGCTTTGTAATAGTGCATGATGATGCGCTGGATTGTAGCGGGGCGGGCAACGGCCCTTGCAGTATCCGGCGTCGAAGCCTTTCGGATACACAATGAATTCGAAGCCTTCCAAGTCCTTGAACATCACCGTCAGTTCGTGCCGGCAGCACTTCTTGTTATTGTCGCCCTTGCACTTGCTACGCCGTCCCTTATGCAGTTGCATCAGCTCCTCGGGGGTGGATCTCTTTCTTCTGCCACCCGATTCAAACGTGGTGAATACGTTCAAGGTTGTATAAGAGATATCGCGCCGCGTCGGTCGGCCGTCATGGAGGAATTCCAGCTCGAGACCATGGTTATCCAGGTTTCGTTCGAGCCAGCTAGCGGCCGCTTCGGTGAAATCCAATTCCAGCCATCGGGAGTCCGTCGGCTGAGAAATTCTGTGCCGCAACAGAAGACGCCGGGAGATCGGCGTGCAAAGATAAACCAGCACCTCCAGATTGCTCGGGCGTCTATGATCGCCTTGAAGAAGGAATCTCAGAGACGCGTGATCGACCGTGACATCTTCGGTATCGTCGGAAACCGCGACGGGAAAGTACAGGAAGTGACGGTGATTTCCTCCTCTCCAGTTAACGCTTGATTTGTTCCCCGGATGCTCTGTAACAAGAAACGCAAATTCATTATAATACACGAGTATATTACGTAAATAAGGAATTATTCGCATTATTATGCGATTAATTTCTTTAAGCTGAACAACGAAGTTATATGTATAATTATTAGGAAATTTTAATAGCGATATACCATATGTATCAATACTATAAGATATTGCGAATTACACAATTCACCAAAAAATAACTTTTCTTCGAACACAAGAACAAAATCAGTCATTCCTTGTAATTTTTTTGACGCTGAATACGATTTCGGTTTCTAAATTGCTCTTTCGTGTCATAATTTTGAGAAATTTGCAGTTAAAGTTGAAAAAACAGGATCTCTCTACTCAAATTTTATAAAAAAATTCCCTGAAAATTTCTTGATTTTTCAAGATACGAAAGAAATCCTTGAGTATTCCAGGTTTTCCACGTTTTTCCAGGGAGTAGAAAAAAATAGTTATTTGAATGTAGATTTTATATCTTTTATTACATAATAATGCAATAAAAGCGCAATAAAATAGTTAAAAGAATCATGAAGGATAAGATTGTAATCTTTGTCTATTAATTGATACGAAGGAAACATTCTTGATCCATTTAGATCGTAATTGAATTCTCGCAACAATGATACGGAAGGCTGCGCAAGAGTTTTGCTTGTAAGCGTGACTCAGTTTCTTTTTGTCACGATTGTCAACGTTTGTGCTTTTTCTACCTCGTGAGATTTACAGATTATATCCACGGTAAATTTAGAACGCGGGCAACAGTTCGTCTATTGTCTGCCATTTATACCGCAACAACGGAAATGAATTTTTTCTTGACCCTTAAATATAAAAATCCAGAAAAGATCGAGAAAAAAACATGAACTAATTTCAATTCAAAATGAGAAGATGTAACGCTTTACGAATATTGTTTCAGATCTTCCTTCCAAACAAATGGAGTTATGGAATAAATTTTGGGATAAACTTTACATTTATCATTTACCTCCATATATCTTTCCGAAAAAAATTTTTCACCAACTATGCTGTTTTATATAATATTAAATTTTAGATTGATATAAGAATTGCTAATAAATATTTTTATAATAAGATAATAATTTTCTGAGAGGGTTATATATATAGTATAATAGTATAATAATATAATATATATATAGCACGTGTGTGTATTATATACAAATTCTACCTATAATAAATATGTATAACAATAAAATAAATTATTATCGATCATTATCATGCAAATTCTAAAACTAAACTAATTCTAAACTAAATTGGAACGTGACTGTCATCAGTTAATGAGGGAGTAATAAACGAAAACTGTGTTGTTAAGTGCCAGGGCTTTAAAACAGTATTACTTAAATGAGACAGGAACTGTTGAATTCCCGTCGATTCCCGGCCGCGCACGCGTGTGACAGTTGTCTCACGCGTATTTACGAATGCAGTTTCACGCATCGCATTCTGTAGCGAGCGTTCCTGTTCTAGGATCTGCAATATTATCGCCCACGTATATTGGCAAGGAGTATTTTCGCAAATCGCGTGGCGGATGAAATACTCGTCGCGCATAAACAAACACGGCTGCGATCTGAGTCACGAAACGGTATTCAGCCTTTCGACGAAATCAGCATGTAAAAGACGCTCTATTGTCGATCACGCGGACAACAGCGGAGATGTTTTAGAGATGAAGCAGAACGAACCCGCCGACCCCAATTTAATCCCCTTTGATACATTCGCGTATAATGTAACAAAATATTTTAAGTAGTAAATTTATTTGTTAAATTTACTTGTTGATATTTTTCTTGTTCCTGATTTTCGTTTCTGATCGTTTACATAATCGTGATAAATAACTTTCACTTCGTGAAGAATAATTTGACATCCTTTATGAATATGAATTTAACAATAATAATTAAATCATCCTGAATGCTGTGTCTCTATTTGTAACATTTTATTTCTTCTTAAAATATATCGCCGGAAAAATTGGTCGCGAGCCAATATTGTAAATATCTCCGAACGAACGTACTAATAATGAGATTTACTCAAAGGAAGAATTTAGAATTTGTAAATCGCTCGTTTCGGCGGCTGTAAAAGTCACGTTCGGAGAGTGCGAGAATCGAATCTGGAAACTAGGATGGGATGGGGAGAGATAAATGTTAAAGAAAGAAAGAGAAAACACGACTCTCCGGTTGTTTGAAATTCTCGCTCCTCTCCCTTTCTTTCATCGCTCTTTCTCTCTCTCTCTCTCTCTCCCTCCCTCCTTCCCTCTCTCTCTCTCTCTCTCTTTCTAAGCATTGATTAAATCTTATTTATGAGGGCCGGGACGCTCCTTAGGAAAACTCTCGCGGAGCTATTAATTATCCACGACATATATACACACCATTTTTCGAGTTTGTCACGGTGTGTTTAACTGTTTGGTGCCGGTAGTACGGATGCCGCGACGATAATTACGAGGATTTAGGGGAAAAAAGCGCGTCATAAAGGACGGAAGGGTCTCGTGTGAATTACAAGAAAAAGAAAGTACAATGTACTTACGATTAGAACGGCGATAGCGCGATTGCGCCACACTTTCGTCCGAAATAATACGAGTATGTGATTATCTGGAGTTTATCTGTCTCTCATTTTAATTTATAACTGTAGTGATTAAAAGTTATCTCCAGTCGAGAAAAAGAGTACGGAAAAGAGAAATTGAAACGAAGGATCCATAAAAGCGTACGTTACATTTATTTTATCTCGAACACACGACGAACTGTGTAACTTGACAATTTCTTTTACGTGAGATGCTTTAAATAAGTCACGACAATAAATAATCGGCGACACGATTTGTGGAAAACAATGTTTATTTTAATCGGGATCCGCATTCCGTGAAATTTCATAAATAAACAATCGATCGGCGACACTATGCGGAAAAAAATTTTTCTGGACATACACAATTTTATTTTCATAATAATATAGAGACAATTTATTAATAATCATATAATAATATGTATATAATAATTATATGTTATATTATTTAATAATGATATGTTTTTAATTGCATGTAAAATTGTCGAAAAATTGGGTGATGAAAAAGTACAGACTCTTTTACACGGTTCGCCGTCTATTCAGAATGCGTCACTGATTAATGCTCTTATTTATGGTGTCGCATAATTAGGGAGGCGAGAAAGGGACTGCATCGCGCATAAAAAAAATTCATGATATCGCTCGACTTTTAGGGCTCGATATATTCCCCTCTCCTCTCACGGCCCGATTATCACGTTCCTCGAATAATTTATCCTACGACAGGCCAACGCACCGTGTCGTTTCACATGTTCCGTAGAATCGTACGTTATCATTCTTCTTCGTCTCTTTTTCCGTTTGTTTTTTAGCGCCATGGAATTCTTTACACTTTAAGGAAGAGAGGACAACACTTTTTAATCCTCCGTTTATCGAGTATTTCTGCAAATAGATTGACATCTATTTCTGCAAATTTCCTCACGTAATCGGATGAAGAATAGGATCTTGTAAACGTTTAATACACACATATATATATATATATATACTAAAACTACCAGATGTTCTCTTAATTACGGATTCTTTATGAATTCTCGACAAAGTAATGAAAGGGAATCATTTATCATAATTTTATATCTTTGTAATTATAACAAATTAAAATTCTGTACACAACGGCAAAATGAAATGTCTATTTACAATTAACTAAAGAATATGAATAGTTCAACTATTTGTCATTTATTCATCACTCTAAGATTTTTGTAAAACAACTCTAGTTTTTTTAAGATCATCGATTCCGAAGAATGTGTAATTAAAATAATATTTGATTTTGGGGCACTGTGTGAAATGTGAAATTATATTAGAATCTCTTTCTCTCTCTCTTTCTCTCTCTCTCTCTCTTTCTTATAATCAAACGTTTTCAGTGGCAAATTAATTAATTACATCTATGTTGCATATCAATCGACAAACTGATCGCTTCCCCGATAATCGATTATTTCACTGAAATGTTTCCTGAGAGATGTTTCTTAATGAACACGTTCGTCGAATAATTCAACGTACGTGCATTCCGCGTGTTTCGATGAAATCGCTCGGGTTTGTTTTCTCGAGGCAACGAAAGATCTACTTTTAGAGAGGGGTGGAGATGCTTTTAGAGTATCGTGCTTGTGTGATGCATATTGTGTAAATGACGATAGCTCCCTTATAGATAGATCTCTTTAATCGAGAGAGAATAAATATCACTTGATTGTTGTCTACTATTTATTTGTGCTGATTAGACGTATCGAGCAATCTTAGAACTAATGGAAATTTGCAAATCAAAAATTTATGCTACGATAAAATAGTATGGCCAAAAAACTGCTCTATTTAAAACGTTTTTTATCTTCCATATTTTTTATCGTGCTTTAAAATAAAAATTATAGAGATTCTTAAAACTATTAAAAATAAAAAAACAAGTAGAGTTGTGCAAATTAGAAACTTGCACATTGCTTCCTCATCATTTTATCTTACAATGCTTAAGCTTTAGAAAAATTATTTTCTTTTTATTTCCTTCTTTTTATTATTTTTTTTTTTTCGCGGTCAAGGCAGCGGGAATTAAGCGCGCAAACAACAATCGTAAATATCAAACAATCGCGAATATATGAAATACGCGGCTGTAGAACACAAGGCGCGAATAAAAGGCACCTATATACCGCAAATGATTCCTCAGAAAATGGACTTCTATATCCGGAAGATTAACATGCACATTTTTCTGAGAGTACGTCAATTTTAGTAGCACATCTCCTGTTTAAAACAGGACCGATGCACGTGTCGGACGCGCGCATTCTGGCATGACGCGGATGACGCATCGACCATTCATTCAATCAGCTGGCCTCGACAATGAATCGACAAAAATATGCCCCAGGACGGTTTCGCTTGGCGATTGACCAGGTAAAATCGGTGCGCAAAATAACCGGTCAATAAAGCGCACAGGAATCCATGGCATCCGGACAATTTCTGAGTATCCCGGGTACGGAGGCGGTGCGCCTGGTGTTATACCTCGTCACTCGATGAGAATTCGACAGCAAACTCGCGTGCGTGAAAAGGAGAGAAAGAGAAAGAGAGAGAGAGAGAGAAATCAGTCGCCTCGCAATATATTCCTCCAAATATAACGCCACGCGCGCGGCCGTCAATCGGCTAGTCCGCGTGCCGTGCTTATTATAGGCTTTATCACTCGACGCACGCATCCAAAAATAAACGCCACGCGAGCCGCGATGTACGCACAGGTGACCCTCCACCGTCGCTATATAGCCGCGGAATTTCTCTAAAATCGCGCCCGGAATAAGATCAACACAGATCGAATTAAAGTGGGTTAACTTGGAACCGCGTGTGCTAAATTCGGGATGCATAATTGGGAGATGATTCGCTCGGAAATTGAGAGATCTCGATTAAACATTACAATTTTAACGCTAGTATCACACACAAGGGAAGAATGTTTCCTGCTGTGCAGGGGAATTATAAACAAAATCTTTGATTCTTATTTCCATGGCTTCTATAATACCGTTCATAAAATCTGTAAATGCTCTGATTATAATTTCAAAGTAGGATAAAATAAATATTATGTAATTATAATTAATTAATTATAATGAGACAAACAATTTATTGTCATTGAAAAGAATCTTTGACTCTTCCCGTATTCCTGAAAAAAAAAATTAGAAAATTCTAAATAATACCAAAATTAGATTAACAATATGTTAAAAATAGTATCGCCTTAATCCTATTGTTATGTTAGTAGCGAAACGCGACATTTAAAAATAGCAGGAACGTAATATAGAAAACGATATTTTTAGACCACTGAGTCCAAAATTAGCCCCGGATCGATTTGACATTTCGTAATATTCTGACAAAATAACTAGCGGCATTCGCACCTCTCGGTATCCCATATTTAACCGGCGCCACTTCGTAAAGTCGTCAATGTCATCGACATTTCGAAAGCGAGATTCATCTATAAAATATTTTACCTATAACAAGAAATAAATGAGAACGCGCGCGTGCGTAATCTCATAAATTTCAAATTTCGATAAATGATTCTCTTCGATTATATAAAAAGCCTATAATCTTTACTTAAATTTTTTCTTTAGACTCATCAATTTTTTGCCTCACGATTAATGAGTGTACTCGGCGAGAGTACCTCGATACTTGTCGGGATAATTGAAATAAATCCCGAGGAGATTCAAGAGATCCAAAGGACGAAGAGCGGGTGGCCTCTTCATGATCCTCGTATCGTTTATACTCGCAGTGATCCCGTTGTCGGTTTCGTCCGTTCGCGTTTCGCGGATAAAGCAAGGTAGACTACTTCTTGTTCTCGCGGTGTGTTTCTGCTCCGGCGATTCGTTCTTATTGCATTCGGGAACTCGTCGCTCGGCCGCGATGCGGGGTTTGGCGCGCACTCTCCAGGAAGAGAGAAAAGGAGAAAGAGATAAAGAGAGAGAAGGAGAGGCTACAGCCACACGCATCAGAAGAGGTCGTCTTCTTCTGCTTCGCGCACCTTTAGCCTGGTATATAGACAAATGCCCACTTCAGACTGGTTTCGACTCGATGAACGAACTCGAGTACACTCAATGTACATACATGCGCGGCCTAAAGCTAACCCGGCATAAAGCCGCGGTGGTCGCCAGCCGTCCAGTCTGTCCGTCTGTCTGTCTGTCTAGATCTTGCCGACTTTTATCTCTTTGACCCATTATTTTCAGGGTGTCTGTAATTGAGCGAAATCCCGCGCCGCTTCGAGCCGCTTTGTGTGCCTCTCGCAAGATTCATTAGCGAGACTCGCGTCTTAATTTGTCGGATCGGTATATAGTGTTCTCTCTCTCTCGTATTGTTCAGATTTCGTGAATCTGACTCTAATTGCTTGACGCAATTGAGCGAAACGAAGTGGAGTCTTATTGAGTCTTATTATCTTTATAGGACGAGTGGGATAAGTCGAACGACTCGATATAAGGATGATCAAGACTTTGTACAAGACTTAGGAAAAAATTAATCTCGAAAAATTAAATTTAGATAGATCGCGAATTATTATAAACCATACATTACTTTGTATGTGCTATTAATTTGATTGTGCAATAGCTCTCTAATTCTCTACTTATGATCACATTTGGATCCAAATAAAGAAACATTATTAAAATTTACTCTTGTAATAGAAATAACTTGAAAAAGAACTTTTTCTCGTCACTTGCCTTTATAATAAAAAAAAAAAAAATTTATAATTTAATTAATCAAACATAAACACACACAATACACAACAATTAATCTAAAATAAATATTTCATAAGTAATGTGAGAGAGATTCAAATTTGATATTATATTGCATTACACTATCAGTTCGTCAAGTTTGATTTCAAGATCGACAACTTTTAAAAAACAATAAATGTTACTTCTTCGTCCACTGGCGATTTCAATTACAAAATATCGTTAAACCCGATCCGGAATCTTTTAGCAAGACATTAAAAAATTATGTTTCTTAATTAAAAAATTATGCCGTTCGTTTCTTCGCTCTTCACGAAGTATACATCGGCAAAGTATCTTTTCTCTATCGGCCGCGCCGCGAGAGAAATTAGGTAAACGGCCAATAATAGCGCACGTATATTTTCCCAGAATCCTTGAAGAAACACGCTTTTAGATCTCGCTTCCGGCAAGCTTCTTTTTCCTCCTACTGCGAGGGGGGGGGGGGGATCGTGGGTGATCAATCGATCGATCGACCGATGACGATCGCGGTCCGACCTGCGCTCCTCGTTTTGCGAAATCGCGCTTTTTTAAATGAGCCGCAAAGAGGATGCGCGAGACGCGAATTTGCGAAAAAGTTTCTAGCGGCTCCGGAGTTCGTCGACTCCGAAAAAATAAATATTAACCGATCGCGCGTTCCTCTTTTTTTTCCCGTCTCTTCGACGAAGAGACGCCGTTTTCCTTTCTTCCTCGAAGCGCGATTTTTTATTGCCCATCCTTCATGGATCCATCACCGGAGAAGCACCGCTTCTCCGCGAGCTGCGAAATCGCAGCGCGGGACTTCAATGCGTTCCAGCGCGAGAACGTGTCGAGTGACGTATCGACAGGTCGCGGCGGCGGATAACTGCATCGCGTTCCCCCTCATCTCCCCAGAACCCCGTTTTCCGCATTTATTTTTGTTGGATACGCGCTGTACTGCGAATATGCGTGCGCGCAAGAGGTTTTTCACTCGTATACATTCGCACGCAAAACCGGCTTTATTCGTATGAGCAAACTTTAATTCGTAGAAACGAAAAAAAAAGGTAGAATTATTCAATCAATTGCGATCGGCGATTTCCTTTAGATCTAACTTTTTTTCTTAATAAATCTAAATTTAGGAAATCTTAAAACAATCAAGTCGCGCGATTAAAAAAATTATATCCCCCTTGAAAATTTCTTTACAATATATAATCTTTAAAGATATCTTTTCATACATAATTCTTCGTGTTACAGTGCCACTAATTACTTAGCAACACATAATTTTTAAATTTTCACTTCGGCAAAACTTAGCGAATTTGACTTCGAAGCTGATGCTTTAAAAAGAAATTGAAGTGACTCTACCTGCGGTTTGAAATACATGGAGATCCCGCCGTCTTCTAGGCTCCTGTCCGTCGTGTGACAGCTGCACTCGTTTCAGGTACTCTCTGTGCGCTCTTTCGTACTCGGCCTGGCTCACGTTAGCCTGAAAACAAAACGTCATAATGGTGTCTTTAAAGACTCATCATCGACAATCGCTTATGTAACGTTGCGTGCATAAGATAATTACAACGCATATGTACGGTGAAGAGTAACCATCGGAAACGCGTTCTTAATTTTCTTGGAATTTTTATAAATAGAAATTTATAGATGCATCTATACGTTTTTTTTTTCTCGTTTGATCCCCTCCTGCCCCCGTCTTTCCATTCAATCTTTCGTAATTTATAGAGCAAAAACTATTTTTTAATCAAAACAAGCCACTGAGAGAGAATAAAAAATACTAAATAAAATTTCTTGAAATATAACAAAAAAATAATAATAGAATTTTTTATTACTATATTCAATAAGATAAAAATTAAAAAATATAGTAATAATAAGATATACACTGGTGTAAAACATTAAATAATTCTTTAGCACTTTCCATTGTGTTCGACAAATCTCGTTCGCTTAGTTTTTTCTTAAAGGATCGATTTCTTTTAGCATACAAAGATTTAAAAATTAAAATATTGCATTGCATTTCGCCGCACACAATTTGTCATGACGAATAAAATAAATTTCAACTGATTTATATCCGTGAGAATGTAAAACTTTCCAAAAGGTCGTTTGAAATCGCTGACTAAACTTTCAGTTAGCTTAATTGATTCTCGGCTATAGTCCGGCGAGGTCGATTCGCGATAAGAGTTTCACAGAAGTGACATCGAAATTATCTAATTTTCTGGGGTCACGATGCCGCGCCGACTCAGTTAAAAACTCTTCCTCGTTTCTTCTTTCTTTCCCGTTCTCTTTAAGATTTTCTTCTTTCCTCTCTTTCTCTTTCTTTGTCTCCCTTTTTGTACTTTCTACTTGCATCTCGCCTTTTCTAATTTTTTCTCGCTCATCTGTTCCCAACGTGGCTTCTTCGAGTCCACTCCCGGCTACTTTTTCACGGCGATGAAACAACTAGCGAATATACTCTTTTCCCATCTCGCCACAACCATGAGAAAGACCAGACGACGACGAGTCGGCGCTCGTAAAATTAGCTCGTTGAGGCCGTGACCATTGACGCGATTCTAGCAGACGAGGGATAATGGACCACTAGAGGGTGTGAGAACTCTCGTAAGCTTCTCGTCCGCCAAGTTTAAAGAGTCGAGATCTATAATAGAAACTTTCTACTTTCCAAACAAGATTTTTTAAAGTAATTTTAAATAAAAGATTTTTCTTCATTTATCATCTCACAGTTAAAACACATAGTACTTCACTTAAAAAGTTAATATTTTAATCATTATGCAAATTTAATTCGGGGACTCGAGATATCCAAAATAACAGAATCGATTCGAAAATTCTATTTAAATATTTCTATTTTAAAATAATTAATTCTATTTTAATCGATACTTTTTGCTTTTAAAAAGCAAAAACTATTTGTTTAAACTATCAAGAACTCTAGATCTAAAGATAAAGTCAGAACTCTTAATTATTTATTAAAATTTTCTATGAAATATTACGCCAGGTTTACACATTCAAAGATTATATTAAAAATATTATATATTCCATGCATTTATACAACATAACGAATCATTTCTTGTGCATTAAATCAAATTACTCTTCACAAATCTCTTCTGGTAAAAAATATAATTACTATGACATTGTAGAATGTCTTCGATACACGGAGATGCATCTTGGTCGCTGCAACAAATGCAAAATTGCCGTCATCGGTGGCAACCGGAAGTGGCGGCGTCGAAGCACAAGCAGGGGACGACGCGCGAGCACGATGAATCATCGTGATCTGCGAAGAGACGCGACGCGACACGGCGCCTCCGCAGTTTCTTTAAAGTCATTTAGCTACTCTTAAGAATAGCTTAACTGCACTCAACCGGTAGCCAGTTCCGGTTGCAATTGGCACGCAGAAAACAAATTTGTAGATCGCGATTTGCGAGCGAAGGTGGTACGAATTATGCCACGTAGTGAGTCACAAATCCGAGAAACGGTCAGGCTTTTCCCTCTCTTTAACAACCTCAACTTTTTCAATTATTACAAAATCGTCGAATTAATTTTCATGATCAGGTCTTGCCTACGAGGATCGCCATGACTCAACGACATTGGAAAAGAAGAAAAGGGAGTTAACCTTATCGCAAATATCTTGCGTACTACATGCTAATATCGCGGAGCTACTAACTCGTGCGTAACGTGGTTTACTGAGAGAGAAAGAGAAAGGGAGAGATGATATATATTATACGATATTTATATCGTAAATTACACATGCCGTGCTCGTCATATTAATCGAGCACTTTTCGTCTATCTTCGCCAACACGTAACATATAATACGTTATTAGAGTATCTACCCAAATTTTATAAAAAAATTACTAAGAATTCCAGATCCATGTTTTTCCAAGGAATACTCTGTATATATCACAATGATTAGAAAAATTATTACCAAAAAATAGATCGTTTCTTACTCTGTTGAAATTCGAAATTATACGGTTCGATGACTTCGAGTATACCGTGAGAACGTTTGCGAATATGTATGTAGCACATATATATCTTTTTATGAATTCTCTAATAAATAAAGTAATTTACGATTGTGAATGTACAAAGCGCTTTCTTAAAATTGCTTACATACCGTGCGAAAAAAAAAGTTTTATACTTCATTCGCAGCAAATTTCTAGAGAGAGAGAGAGAGGATGGCACAATCTCCGTTATAAATCTTTTAATGTTCGATACTAAACATTTCTAGGATCGTTAAATTTATATCAGGGATAGACATATTAATAATTTTCTGCGAAAAAATATTTCACTCTTAATCTCTTATAACTCGACTTTTCAGTGCTATTAGTGCTTCAAAGTTATTTCAATTACGAAAAATATCGATTGTAAATTATGTACCGATTATGTGAAAGTCGAAGTTGCGAATTGCAATTTGCAATATTGTATCGTAAATATCTACATATTAATATTAATGGGCATGCCATAGTATTATTAATAGTTCCTCGGTAGCCCTCCGACGTTGTGCAACGTTATCAATGCCATTTCTCGTTATGCAACGTACGCATCTGCAACATGACGGAGAATATTTCTAAAGTGCTCATCTTCGGGAAAAAACTTTTCGCTCGCAGCAGCGTGTATTTTCAATTAATTTTTCTGGCTTTTTCTGATTTCTTTCAATTAATTTTTCTAAAATACGCGCGCGTGCACGCAAGAGAGAGAAAGAAAAAAAGAGAGAAAAAGAGAGAGAAAGCAGTTAAGGATATTTTATTGAAATTTTAATAAGCAGACGATTAATCATCTTGAATATATACTGTGTTTATCTCTCGATTATGCTGGTATGCACAGACCAGAAGAATTTGAAGAACATATCCGCGAAGCATACTTAGGATTCTTGAGATACATGCAACATTGTGCACGCAAGCGTTTTGACATCGGTTTTATTTACTTTGCTCGCGCAAAATACATAAAGATCTCGTGGATCTCGAGGTGCGCGCGAGAATGAGGTATCTTTTTTCGTCCTGGGATCTCCCAAGCAGGAGCCAGGTCTCAATTTCGTGCAACAAGTATGTCCCGGATGTCTTCAATTGCGGGGCCTCCTGATTGACCAATGACAGATATCCGGATGTCGGATAATGACATTTCAGAGGCGCGCCAAACGTCTGGAATGTAGTGGATGATCGTAATGAGATGCCTTATGGTTAGAAAACTATTAAGCCGTTTATATTGTTAATGAGAATGATCGTAAAGCATATGAAGGCGGAGCCTCGCGTATATATCCGTTTGTAAAAAAGAACGCCGCGGTTTCCAAGAAAAAACACAACAAAAAATTTTAATGTATTTATTTTGCAAAGAAAATATTAATTTCTATCTTATAAAAGAGTGTGTATAACATTTACTTTTTTTTATATATAAATAGAAATTTAAAAAAGAAAAATTTTGATATACGATCGAAATTGCAACTTGTTTAAATCCGCGTCAATCTGCGAATAGGTTTAATTTATAATTAGACTTCGGATTATATGCACTTTTAGGAACAGATGTAAAATGAAATAAGAAAAATTAAAATTAGTCTTAATCAAATAATATATATCTTACAAATACAAAATATAAAATAATCACGATATTTAAAAACACGAACTTTATTTGTATATATACACTTTTATATTTATATAAACTAAACTTATATTCTTAAGAAAACTAAATATACAATCTTTTATTAAGAATTAAAACAATATATTATAAAATGTTTTTCAAAATTTTCCAGAAAAAGTCTATGCCTTCTATCTGAAAATAAATATTTAAAAATAGAAAAAGAATGTTCAACATCTACATATTCAAAAAGTAACAATATGCAATTTACATATAATCCGAAGTCTATTTATAATTATCGCAAGTAAACAATTATTTTTATCCTTATCTCATCTCGGTATCACCGTTATTTAATCGCAAGTCCTTCCACATTATCGGTACTGACGTCCGCCGAGTTGAAAAAAGACATGAGAATTTTTCACGCAATCTCACAACTCCGCTTTGCGCGAGTCGGCTTTACGCAGTCGATGTGGCGCAATAATGCGCGTTAATTCCCTTCTTTCTTTATTTCTTATAGGCGTGTGTGCGTCGGAGAACGCGCGTATACGAGAGGCGGCGTTTTGAGAATAAACACGAAGGTAGAATGCAGCACCGATCGGTTGCGCACAGATTAATGCGTTGGGCGCGCGCATTTCCGAGGCTTCTATGTGCGTCCAGGCCTACAAGAACCCGGCACGTCGTCGTCGTCGTCGTTGAAAGCCGCTTTCTCTTAAAATTTAAGCCAATCATAAATCTCGTTAGCGTCGATTCAAACCGTGCGATCGTCGCGTTTGTTGTCGCGGCGCGGCTTCGGTTCGCCTTTGTGTCATTTTCTCGGCGGCGGGTTTTCAGTCTCACAGCTCTCTCTGTCACGAACAAGGGCATCGAGCTGGCAAAGCTATGGCTTATTGTATCGTATAGCAATAAGGTATATTTTGTTAGGGAGTTTAATTAAAT